CACTGTACTCTACCCGTACACCAGCTGTACTCCAACTGTACTTCAATTTTAAAGTCTCGCTTTTTTCCCCTTGGGTGTGGGTGGGTATGGGGTGTGGATGTGGATAGGTGAGTGTGTGTACACTGTAAAAAAAAAAGGTGTTCTACCAAACTTTGAAGGTTTCGCAATGGTTTTCGAAACCATTTTAAGTTCCGTGGGATGAAAAAGGTTTCGTAGTCTTCATACTGAACCTTTTTAAGTTCCGAAAACCGACGTAGGTTTCGAAGTTTCACGACGAAACCCTCCTAGAGTTTCGTGCACTGTGTACTGAACTTTCGGAGGTTTCGTAGGTTTCGTACGAAACCGTTGAGAGTTTCGTAGAGCATCTAAAGGTTCCGTAGCAGTTCTACGAAACCTTTCATAGTTTCATAAGTGCTCTTATGGTTCCGGAGATGTGGCACGAAACCAGCCGTGGTTTCGTAAAAGATATACCGAACCATTACATCGTTTACAAAGCTATGAATAGTTTCGTACAATTTATACTGAACCTTTTGATGTTTTACGAAACCTCTGATAGTTTCGTGGAACAGACAAAGGTTCCGTATATCTTATACGGATCTATCAAAAGTTTCGTAAAACATGAAAAGGTTCGGCATGCACTATACGAAACTGTTCATAGTTTCGTAAATGATGTAATGGTTCTGTATATCTTTTACGAAACCATGGCTAGTTTCGTACAACCTTTCCGTAATTATTAGAGCGCTTATGCACCTATGAATGGCTTCGTAGAACTAATACGAAACCTTTAGATGCTCTGCGAAACTGCCAATGGTTTTGTGACATATATACAAAACCTTCAGATAAATGACGAAGCTTTTAATGATTTCGTATAAAATATACGAAACTATTGTATGCATTTCGAAATTATCAATGGTTTCGTAAAATGTCTCCGAAATCTGTCCAACATTTACGAAACTATGCATGGTTCCGTAAAGATATGCCGAACCATTGCATCATTCATGAAACTATCGATGGTTTCGTATCACGTATACGGAACCTTTAGATACTTTACGAAAACAGCAATGGTTTTGTATACTGTATACAGAACCATTATAGTTTTTGCGAAACCATCAATTGTTCCGTACAAATTGTACGGAACCATTTTACTACTTGCCGAACTAAGGATGGTTCCAGATTCTACATACGGAACCTCTAGATGTTCCACGGAACTATCAATGGTTTCGTAGAATGTGTCTAGAACCAAAATAAAGATTGAAAATCCATCCATAGTTCCGTAAAATTTCTACGGAGCCATTTTACTAGATGCGGAACTAAGGATGGTTCCAGATTCTACATACGGAACCTCTAGATGTTCCATGAAACTATCAATGGTTTCGTAGAATGTATCCAGAACCAAAATAAAGAGTGAAAATCCATCAATAGTTCCGTAAAATTTCTACGGAACCATTTTACCAGATGCGGAACTCAGGATGGTTTCGGATTCTATATACAGAACCTCTAGATGTTCCATGAAACTATCAATGGTTTCGTAGAATGTGTCCGGAACCACAATAAAGATTGCAAATCCATCAATAGTTCCGTACAAATTGTAGGGAACCATTTTACTACTTGCCGAACTAAGGATGGTTCCAGATTCTACATATGGAACCTTTAGATGTTCTACGAAGCTATCAATGGTTTCGTAGAATGTGGTCGGAACCACAATAAAGATTCCGAATCCATCAATAGTTCCGTAAAATTTCTACGGAGCCATTTTACTAGATGCGGAACTAATGATGGTTTCGTGTTCTATACTCGAAACTTTTAGATATACTATGGAACTATCAATGGTTTCGTATAATGTATACGACTCTATTTTACCACTTACGGAACTAGCGGTAATTTCGTACTGTATATACACAACGAGTATTGGTTTCGTACAATGTACACGAAACCATTATATCACACTTACAAAATCATCGGAAGTTTTGAATAACAAATACGGAATATTTTGATGTTCTGGATAGCCACTCATGGTTTTGTTAGTTAGCTAAATGCTCTCTTTTATTGCACAATGTCAACGATAGTTTCGCAAAATGACTTTGGTTTTATCAGTTCTCATGTGGAGACTGTTCAAATTCTAGCAAGCTGTGGCTGGGTCTCTCTGCTTCGTTTAAAAGCATATGCCATAATGTATTCTATCGAAAATTTCTTATTTATTCGTTTGGCTAGGAATGTTTCACTGTTCGCTATAATGCTTTACTAGAGAACACTCGTCGACACAAAAAAGCGTATTAGCGAACATTGGAGGTATAAGAAGGGAATATTGAAAAAGTGTCCGTACAAATACATAATGCATAAGCCAGAGAAAAAGATTAGGGGATGGCACAGTCAGATGATCATACAGGTAATGTCAGCTTTATTTATCGACTCCAGATACTAGTTAACTAAGTGTCGAGAGATAAATTTATAATATTTAGAGTTCACCGAAATAAGAAAAGCACATTTTGGATGTGGGTCTGAGTATGGGTGTACGTTTGAGTGTGGTTTTGATTCTTTGCTTTATCCGTACCAATGATCCACCCACACCCACAATTTTTACGGTTACCCAACCAACGCTTTCTAGGCTAGAATTTTCCAAAACATGCGCATTTATTCTTTCCCCGATAATTTCACATGCGTACTATCATTTATAATATTAAGCATCAACATTGAGTAGTTAATAAATATCTATAAGGAGAATCATCAATTAGGTAATCTAACTTGATGAGGTTCACCATGGAGTAGATGATTAATATGTATGAGGACCAGCAATAGGTAAGTCATCTGTATCATCGAGGGTCAACATTAAGCATATGGTCAATACCCAGGTCAATTATGCTCGGCTGTGCACAGTCATATGCCAACTAATTATGGAGGACAAGAGTGAGCATTTCCGCCAGACCTTTACAACCACAACTGTAAACGACGCTCCACGGCATATTACAGTCAGTGTACATGACATCCGTAATAGTCAGTCGTAAACGGCTAGTGTAACGAAACGGCACCCGTATACGCTCTTTGTAAGCCAACGTAAAACGACGTATTCATGAGAAGTTTACGGCACTTCCTTCTGCCAATAGTTAATGACAGGATACGTTGCATTACAACAATCGAAAACAATGACTATGAACAATGGTTGTTGACGAACATGGTAGCAACACAGGGACTGTAAACAAGCATACCATAAACCATTGTCATGTACCGTACACGCTAGGTGTTATCGAATAACGTATCCACCGATTGTCAACAACCGTTTAACTGATAATACATCTATCCCGAAACAACCTAACGAAACAGCCATTCTTTTCGACTATTAACTAAGTGAGAACGATGTACCAGATTATCGATCCATCTCAACTCACAAATCAGATGGCCAGATAGCACTTTACTGCTATAAGAAAACCCCAGCACTTCGATATGTAGGTCCTTTAGAAGAGCATCTCCGACACTTCAGAAACGACTAAAACGTAACACCAACATGGTCTCGAAATGAGGAAGAAAACAGCTCCTACAATTTCATCGCTCAACTTCATTTGACCGATCGAATCACCGAATTCTGTTTCTTGTGCAACTCGAAGCCGGAGGCCCAAACATGTACCCGTCATTCAATAGAACATCCCCACTAACGCTAGAATCGACCATAACGTGAAGAGTAGTTGTACTTACAATAAGAAAGTAAGTCCCACTGAGATCTCATTGACCCATTTAATTGACCACTCAGAACATGATATTCAATTTCTTCATGAAACACAAGGCGAGGACCCACACATATACCCATTATTTGATGGAATGTCCCCAATAATCCTAAGATCGGCTCAAACATGGCTAGTACTTGTCTTTAAAATAAGGAAGAGAAGCCATCCAGAAATTTTATAGGTAAAAGATGATCCAATCAAATTGTACATAGCGTTCTTAATTATACACTGTTTTGTTTCGCGTCACACGCACATGTGTACCAGTAAATTTATGACCTCTACCTAACATAATAGACAAGAGTGCGACGCTAATACTTCTCACAGCTATCCCTCGTTTCTGCTTGCTATTCTACTTCATCACTTATGAGCAAGGAGTGGACCCATACATATACCCATCATTTGATACAGCGTCTCCAGTAACCCTACGAGCGACCTGGCCATGAGTAGTACTTGTCCTTACAGTAAGGAGGAAAAGTCCTCCTAAAATCTCATTGGTCCATTTCATTGACCGTTGAAAGCGCGATATTCTATTTCTTTATGGAAATCGAGGACGGAATTCATACATCTACCCATCATTTGATAGAGCACCTCCGATAACTCTAGGATCGGACCAAACATTACTAGTCCTTGTCCTTAGAATAAGGAAGAAAAGCCCTACTGGAATCTGATTGGTCCATTTAGTTGATCAGTGAAGGTGCAATATTCTATTTCTCCCAAGGGGGAAACAGCGGACTTCAAGACTTCAAGACTTTAAAAGACTTCAACAGACTTCAACAGACTTCGCCCGCTGTGACTTCATCTTTTCACAAGACTTCGAAAGACTTCTAAAGACTTCTGAAGACTTCATAGGACTTCAAATGACTTCGCAAGACTTCATAAGACTTCGTATGACTTCATGGGACCTCATGGGACTTCAAAAAACTTTCAAAGACTTCGTTAGACTTCACAGACTTCGTGAGACTTCAGGGACTTCATGAGACTTCACGGATTTCATGAGACTTCAGAGACTTTGTAGGACTTCTTGAGACTTTATAAGACTTCATCAGACTTCATAAGACTTCACAAGACTTTATAAAACTTCACAAGACTTCACAAAACTTCACAAAACTTCACAAGACTTCACAAGACTTCACAAAACTTCAGAAGACTTCACAGGACTTCAAGAGGCAGATTCCATGCGTATCAAAAGAAACCTTATAGAAATTACAAGAAACCTCTATAACATGCAAAAAAACAAAACTTATCAAATAGTAGGGGTGTCATTTACCGTTTACTTTATAATAAATATAAATTATTTATCATTTAATTTACGCGCAAATTAAATGGAAAGTAAATATAAATTGACACCCTTATTCATAACTGAGTAACTAGTATCTTCCGAGAACCACGAACAGGAATGATATTGAAAATTGATTGCTCCCAAAAGTCTGTTTTGTGGAACTCACGTATATTTTCAAAGAAAATAGTGAGTGTACGTTTTCAGTTTGAGGTTTGATGGCTCTCTCTCCCCCCACCCCATTATAGACACTTAGCAACGGAGAAAGAGAACATTACAGACATACTCCCCAACCCCCCCCCCCATTACAGCCCTTAGCAACGAGTATTAAATAATGGTGAAAATATTATTTTAGCTGCATTTAATCGTGCAAAAGAACTAGTTAGTAATTTGAATATATTACCTTCATTAAAGAAATGCAATGCTTGTGAACTTAATGGTTTAAGTAAAAATATATTTGATAGTATTAGATTCAACATTAATTCGGATACTTATTCGGCAACGGATGCAGATTCTTCATCAGATTCTGAATCTGATTATGATGATGAAACAATGGAAAGTAATGAATTTAATAGTGATCTAATCAATGTGGATGAAGAAGATAAAGATGCTGCAACGACACAAAGTGTTGATGGAATTAAAACTGAGAAAATAAATTTTACTGGTATGCGTATATTTGATTCGATCAATCCAGCAATGAAAAACTTCTATTTTCAAGTGCAAATAAATAACAAGACTAAATTTATACACAAGCAAACGGCTTGTTGGTTATTAACTGACAAAGCTAGCCGTTTATCGGCTGATAGATTATCACGAGTGATAGAAACAAACAAAAAGGATTAAAATTCTTCATCAGATTGATTTGGATAGATAAAACATTTCTTATAAAAATAAAACACTTCATTCAAAAAGATTCAGTTATTAACTATTACGTTTACTAAGACCAAACAAGCTTGAATTTTTCCAGCACATTGAAAAAAAAACAATAAATAGTTCACCTTTCTGCTAAAATAAAATCGTCGAAAACAAGACAATTTCATTGGTTTCTTATGAGTTTTCATGCACTAAATGTATTTCAAAACTTTCAAAAGAATTCATGAAACTTCATTAGATTTCATGAGACTTCAAGAGACTTCAAGAGACTTCAAGTGACTTCAAGAGACTTCAGGAGACTTCAGGAGATTTCATGAGACTTCATGAGACTTCATGAGATTTCAAGAGACTTCAAAGACTTCAGAGACTTTATGAGACTTTATGATAATTCATAAGACTTCAAAAGACTTCAAAGACTTACAAGACTTCATGAGACTTCACGGCTGAAGTCTCTGCGGTTCTCCCTTGTACCCACCATTCGATAGAGCACCCCCGAGAACCCTAGAATCGGCCCGAACATCGCTAGTCCTTGTCCTTAGAATAAGGAAGAAAAGCCCTACTGGAATCTGATTGGTCCATTTAGTTGATCAGTGAAGGTGCAATATTCTATTTCTCCATGGAGAGCAAGGAGGGGACCTATACATATACCCACCATTCGATAGAGCACCCTCGATAACCTTAGGATTGGCCCAAACATCGCTAGTACTTGTTCTTAGAATAAGGAAGAAAAGCCCCACTGAAATCTGATTGGTCCATTTAGTTGATCAATGAATGTGCAATATTCTATTTCTCCATGAAGAGCAAGAAGGGGACCCACACATATACCCACCATTCAATAGAGCACCCCCGATACCTCTAGGATCGGTCCGAACATCACTAGTACTTGTCCTTACAATAAGGAAGAAAAGCCCCACTGAGATCTGATTGATCAAAACCGATCCAATTGAGTTCTACACAGCGTCACTA